CGTAGAGTCGTCATCAGCTAGTTGCAATATACTGCCTGAGACCGTTACAGTTGAGAGCGCTGGTCTGAAGTGCCCCAATCGTACCGAACCATTCAAACGCGCGTAGCTACGTACCCAGAGAAATGGACCCACAAAAAACTACCCCCCAGGATGATGGCGTCCTGCTTTGTTGTTATACGGCATCCGGTGAAGACGCCTGCATATGCCGCGAATGCGGCGCACCAGCTCTTCCGCTGCAAGAACTGGAAGCCGATACATATTGGATCCAGGGAGAAAGCGATTTTAATTGTATTTTTTGTCACTCTGTCATTACAATCTCTGTTGTACCCTAAGCCTATAGCAGACGCCCATCTCATAGCGTTATTCGTTGCTTATACCTTTCACCGAGCAGATCCCAAGCTGGTCAAATCGCGCTCCGACAGCGGTTGACCTCGTGCCCAATGAAGAGCCATAACGACATATTTAGTGTAAAAAGCCCTGACCTATATCTTTTCAGTCGAAAGCCACCAACATTAATACTAAAACTACTGCGAGGACCACTAGTAAGTACCGGTCGACTGTGACAGGGCCGCTGGCACCAGACGTCGTCGGGGAGCTTGATGGGGCCGCGCTAGAAGTTGTTGCAGTGTTATTCTGAGACGGGGAAGCCAGGATTTTATTCAAAACATAGATTAATCCGTTGTTCGTCCTGATGAGAAAACAATTATTATGAGAGAGAGGTGGGCCAGTGTCGACGCCGGACTTACAGCAAAGGGGACTGGACAACTTTGGCGTCATTAAAATACGTATCGTTTCCTTTCAGGGTGATTTTGATTGTTGTGTTTCCCATAGATGTGAGTTCCATGCCATCGCGGATGTGATCTGGGTATAGAGGCTGCGGGAGAGCATAGGACCTTTATTTGCCGGTTAGTTTGTTGTTCGCAAACCGCTTGAATGTGAAAAGTCTTACCACATTATCGAGTTCAACTCGGAGCGGCTCAGGTTTTCCTGTGGATTGCCGGCGGCTTCGAACGCTGCGTTACTCGGGGCCAAGCATGTCACATTGGACGCGTAATCGATGGCATCGTAGACGTCGGTATTCTCCAGCGATTCACTCAGCGTCTTCAATGAAGATTCACCTTCCAGCGTATTGGAGCAGTTTCTGGGGAGATCTAGAACCCTACGCGCACCGTCAATTTGTTAGAAGGTAATTCGGTCTGTCAGCCGGATAGCTAGCAGTAGCGTGGACTCACTGGTTTACTATATGGAGATAGCCTCCCGGCCATGTCTTGTCAAGCGCCATCAAGATCGCTGCATCGGCATCCCCCCCGGCCTGCAGGCTAAAGCCTGCATCCTCGTGCTGCCGGGCCTGGACGTAGACCACCTGCCCATTGGCGTCGGCTCCGAAAGTCTGGGTCAGCTCAGCGCCAGCCGAGCGGTTGTTGTACAGCTCGCCCTGCAGAAGTGTGGGGATAGTTATTCCCCTGGCAGCGCTGAAGTTGGCAGAGGTCAACCCCGCGCCGAGAATGTGGTAGGACAAGATGTTGTTGAGGTCGGCGGAGGCTGCCTGAGACAGCGGCTGCCCATTAGTTGAGGAGTATTTGGCGAAGGCATCATTGTCCGGCGCGAGCACCGTGACGCTTGGGTGACTTGAGAGAAGGGCATCGAAGACAGCTGGACGTTGATCAACGAGACTTTTCAAGCTGGTGAGGGATGGGAAACCCGCCAGCGCAGCAGACAAGTCTGATGCAGGTGCGGCCGCGACCCCAGACGCGAAGGCTGCGAGGCAATAAAATCCCCCAATTGACGAAAACATGGCAGAGAGCGGCTTAGTCGCGCGATGCTTGGCGACATCAAATAGGACGGAGGATATAGAGGCTCTGTTCTGCCCATCGCATAGCCGACAACATGAGCTCGGGTGAGATTGTGAGCCACATTATATTGAAATCTGGCGTGCAATACTTCGTTCTTGTACTAATTATATGGCTGCGGCCAAAATGGAACCGTCTTGGTACCGGTATGACCCCCCGCCTCCGCGGGAATTGTGTTTCCATTGGCTAGCGTCCTCGGCACTTGCCGGGGGCTAATTACGCGTAGAGTCGTCCCTCATTACAACCATTGTCTCGCGCGGTACGTGAGCTCGGCCGGCTGGGCGGTAAGTTCCGTGCGGCTCATGCGGGGATCTGGAGAGACGAAAGCAGCGCAGGCCTGTGCGCCTGCAGCCCGCTTCCGCGGTCAACTTGGGCAGTACAGCGCTTGCGCCGGCTTCCGATCTTCTGGGCCAATCAGAACTCGTTTAGCGTAACCGACTCAGGTTATGACTGTGAGACTGACGCCCGGTCTTCTCTTCAACTCTTGTTGAAGAAAGACCGGGCGTCATGACGTAAGGTATTAGCTGTTTTGACGACACCTCCTCGTCACCGTCTTCTCTCGCCACCCACACCAGTGGCGGGCCTCCAGCAAGTCACACACGGTATGTCGGGCCTGGCGTTCAGCTGAAGGTCTGGCCTGGGCCACAGAGCCCCATCAAACCAATCCTCAAAAGCGGGACGCACCCGTTGCTGTGCACCCGTATCCGAGGTTTCCCTGGTGCATTTTTCGTGGCAGAGAAAGCGTGCCTGTTCTCATTGACGGAAACACCCCCTCGTTCCGTCGCTGATCCCACATAGCCAACGAGCTCGTCACTTGCTTTTCCTCCCAGGCATGAGGAGGGCCGTTGGCCGCGCAGTCTTGAGCTATGCTCTCGGCCCGGTTGACGCCAAAGCGTTGAAGTGGAGTAACAACGGCCCGAGATGGGTTCCTCCCCAGGAGACGCTTCTTGGCTACATGCCCTCTCTCGGCATGGAACCGCCAGTGCCAACAGCAACACCTCCTCTAGGAGCCTCAAAGCCAAGGGGAATCCTAGAGGCCCGTGGCTCGGACGATAACACGTGCGGTTATGTGAGTGGGAGTCGATGTTAGTCCACCCAAGGTGCTCGATGTAAATTATATCGACTAATACGACACAGCCTTGTCAGTGTATTGCGATGCGACCGCCCGTTGTGTGTATAACTCGATCAATTCTTATATTGGCTGCTGCGCCGATGCTACTACCGCTTCGGCCTGCCCGATCTGGACAACGTGCTACGACTCCACGGACCGCGATAGTTTCACGACAAAGAACGGCTACACCCAGTGGTGGTATGTCCGTCCAAACCCGAGTAACCAGACTTACGCTTATACATGACAGCGGCGACTCGCGCTACCCTTACTGTGCCACCTACCTCTACCAAGACCAAGCCTTGCGCGGCTTCACCCTGCTCGGCTGCGCCGTGGCCGCCGGCACGGAAGAAATTTGGTTCACCCCGGTCGAGAGCAGCACGCCGACAAGCCCTTCTACCACTACCCCTACTGACCCCAACCCTCGTCCTCCCCCCACCACCTCCACCCCGCCTCCGCCCACCCCCACCCCCGTCGGCCCCATCGTAGGCGGCGTGGTCGGAGGTTTCTGCGCAATCGCCCTCATTGTCCTCGGCATCTGGGCGCTAATGCGCCACAACAAGAAGCAGGAGAACGCCGCCGCTACCGTCGCTACTGGCGCCGGCACTACCCGACAACCACAACAATCCCCTAGTTCAAACCCCTACCAAGACCCGCATATGTCCCAACTTCCAGCGCAGGGTTACATAGGTATCGACCAGCCGACTATGGTGAGGAGCCCGCCGCCGCCGCCGCCAGAATTTTTTTTTGTGCAGGGCACGTCATCGCCTCCACAGCAGCAGCAGCAGCAGCAAGGGGGATATCCGGAGCAGCAGCAGTTTGGGAATGTCTCGCCTGAGACGCAGGTTGGTGCGGCGGGGTATCAGCAGCAGAAGTATTCGCCGCCGCTGCAGCCGGGTCAGCAGGGGGGGTTTGGGGGTGCACAGGGCGATAGGGGATATATAGCTGAGTTGCCAGCGGAGAGAGGAATGGAGAGTTGAGCGAGTTTTAAGGTGTAGGAGTGAAGCCCTACCAAAGTGATGCGGAGGGATGACGGGTTTTCATAGTTGAGTCTATATCTACGGATCGAGGGCTTCTCATAATGGGTATGATGAGAAAATGAGGGGTAGAAATAATCTGTATGTGTATAAATTCTAGAATGTAGTGGGCACTACATGTAACGGTCTCAGGTAGTATATTGCAAATAGCTGATGACGACTCTACGAGTACACTGAACTTGGAGAAGAAAAGGAGAGACGACAGACTCTGGTAGCTCGCAAGCATACTTATCCTCGTAGGCGCGCTGGTCTGAGCGCGTTGCTAGAAGGTTCGGTGTGCTGTGGAGCGAGTGGGAATAGCCTCATCAGGGGGCTTGGTATTGGCCGAGAGTCGCCGAGGCTCGCACCGGGCCCAGCCCGTTACAGTATCTGGCTCACGCGGTTACAAGGGGACAAGGCTGATGGCTCTTTCTGGTGTTGTGAGCTGTGTTCCAGCATCTTCAACTCCCAGGCTACAAGCGCTGCTGCTCAACACCTGAAGAAGTCCCATAGGATTACCGAAACAGCTGGTAATGCCGAAGAGATCAACAGCAGTGTTGAGGGTCCAAGCAAACGCGTACGATTGGCTGCTGGGTTACGGTCTGTTGCTACAGCGAGTCACGCACTTCGAGTTCCTATATTAAAGAGCACCTCAGAGATGTTTAGGGAGACGATGCTCAACTGGATCGTCGAATATAACCTACCTTTTTCACTCGTCCAGAACTCTCATTTCCGGAGTCTGTTGATGCAGTTAAACGCTGAGAAGGTTGCTTCCTTATTACCAGAGTCTGGGTCGACAGTGAGGAAGTGGTTAGACGACCTTTTCGCCCAACAATTCGCCTTGCTCAAGCGGTCTTTAGCATCAGCTCCGGCCTTCAAGAAACACCTCTCTTTCGACCCATGGACATCATCCAAACTCCATCGCCCTATTGGCGGTAGTTGGGCACTACCTTGACGGTTCAGGAACCCTGAAAACACATCTACTGGCCCTCGAAAGGATCAAAGGGAGCCACAGCGGTGATAACCTAGCCCAAGGAGTTGTTGCTGTCGTCGAGCGCTTTGGCCTGGCCCAGCAATTGGATTATTTCCAGTCCGACAATGTGGATTCAAATGATGGCTGCATCTCTGCCGTACTACAACACCTCAACCCCGCGCTGACTGCCGTCGAAATCACGAAGCTAAAGAGGAAGCGCCGACTCCGCTGCTTTGGCCAAGTCCTCAATCTTGTTGCCAAAGCCTTCCTTGAGGGAAACAATAAGAACATCCTTCAAACACTCGAGGAAAGTCCTCAAGCCCGCCTTGACAATGAGCAAGAGGGAGAGCTTCTGAGGCAATGGCGGAAAGCTGGGCCCATTGGAAAGCTCCACTACCTTGTGCATTTCATTCGCCGCAGTCCTCAGCGCCGCGAGAGCTTTCTTGAGGTTGCCAAGGGCCAAGTTATCCGAGGAGGAGCGAGAAGAATTCGGTTCTATCCTGCTTGACGCCAATACCGCCAAACTTCAACTTCGGGCCGATAATAACACCCGCTGGAACTCTGTTTACCTCATGATTGAGAGGGCAATGGTGTTGAAGGACCCGTTGGTGTTTTCGGTGCGTTGGTCCCGGGAAAAAGATCCCCAGAAGCGGCTCAATAAGGAGATGCTCCTTACAGCCCCGGACTGGTCAATTTTGACGGAAGCACTTGCGATTCTTGAGCTTTTCAAAATCATCACGAAGAAGTTTGAGGGCAGGGAACCCAATTTTGCCGAGGTTATCGCCCACGCATATACGTTGCTCAAGGACCTCGAACAGTTAAGCCAACAATACTCCAAGGCCTTCGAGAAAGCGTCGTTTGCCAGCCCAGAGCTCGTTCCCCTCGAGTTACCGCCTCGGGAAAAGTCCCCCCGGCCGCCACCATCACAGCCCAGAAGACCCCAACGAGCCTCGCAGTTGCCACGGCGGTTTGAAGGCTACGAGGTTGATCTCCCAGGACTCAGAAACAGACGTCCTGGTACACCGTGCGGTCCTCAAATTGAGATTGGAGATCCTGTGATTGAGGACCTCGACAGTGATGGCGCTAACATAATCCAAACAAGCCTCGGGATCGCTATTCAGAAGCTCAGGAAGTATGTGGTCTTGATGGAGGCATCTCCAGCTTATTGGGCAGCAATGATACTGCTCCCTGGTTGCAGAGCGAGGTGGATACAACGATTCTTTGTTAACGAGCGAGGAAGAGCGGAGATGATTGTTGGAGAGTCCAAGGAGTTCTTTGAAGAGGAATATCCAGGCGAGGAACAAGCCCATGTGAGCCCTGAGCGCCGGCGGCCACACTACCTCTATGGAGATGACTTCTACGATCCGCCCGAGGCTCTCCACGGCCTGGATGAGGTAGCAGCCTACCTTGGCGAGCGTGTTAGGCAGGTGGAAGATCCGTCGCAATGGTGGTTGAGTAACCAGGAGCGATTTCCTAGGCTGTCAAAGATGGCGCTCGACTTGCTCTCTCTTCCACCCATGTCAACGGAGTGCGAGAGGACGTTCAGCCTTGCGAAACTGGCCGTGGGAATGCAGAGGCACTCTACACAGGAGCATACAATATCCAAGCTCCAGTGCCTAAAGAATTGGCTGCGAAATCAAGGTCCTCTTAGCAGGGTTGTAATCAGGAACCTGGATGTCTGGAGAGGGCCGAGTGACTCGGTCGGCTCGGAATAACCTCACCCGGAATCATGTGACTATAATTGTAATTCTTCAATTCAATTCAATTCTGGGGCTTCAATCAATCATTATTCAGAAAGGCCTCAATTCAATCCAATTATGAGGCTTGGATTGGATTGATTGGATTGTTGGGAGCGCTGGCCATAACGCTTAAGCATATCTTGTTGGAACCTGCAGGGCGACGACCGCTCAGATATGCGCTGGAAGAAGCTATTCCCAGTCAAAGCAGTGGATTGAATTTTTAAGGTGGTAAAAGTGATTGATTGACCATGCTGTTGATGGGCATGGGAGAGGACTAAGTATGTAAGGAAGAGGGGTTGCAGTGCTGGCACCATTCAACCGTTGAATGCAGCCATCAAGGCGGCTTCGTTCCGACATATCTCCCTAACGCACATGCATGATGCACCTCTTTGTGACCTCAACAACGGCTCCCCGATGTAAGACAGTCCTGGCGCCCCCGATTCTGGTCGTCTCGAAATGAAGCGTCCTCGACCTCATCGAGCATTTTGTGACAGTACGACCCAGCGGCAAGGCTGGAAACAACGCAACGCAACGCAACGCGACTCCCAATTTGCGTTGCGTTGAAGGTGCAGATGTTGGATTTGAGGGCAATTTTCAGTGATTTGCGTTGAACCAACGCGGTAGTGTGCCCGCTGGGTAAGGCTGGAAACAACGCAACGCCCTGCAACGCGCGTTGGGCCAACGCAAAGCAAAGCAACGCAACGCGACCGAACAAAAGCTCAAATCAACGTGTTGGAAGTGATGGCACTTGAAACTCGGGAACTGGGTTGCCGGTGTCGTACCCTGGTCAAGGGTAATACACAGCTGTTACATAAGGTCTGCGAGGTACCCAGATAACTTGAGGAGACGGAGAGAACTCAATCGACAGATTCTGGGCTGGTCCTAAGCACTCGAAAAGTTTACTATTTTAACGGCTCCCATAGAGTGTGTCACCGTGGAATTGTGGCTGTTGGCTTTCCAACAGTTATGAGCCCGGCTCGCAACAACACTTCCCCAACAATCCGAAGCAACAGCCACGAACGCAAGTTCAGGTGCTCGCAACCGCAACCATGACTACGACAGGGAGCATTGTCAAGCTGACCGGCCCGGAGAGCTGGAAGGAGTGGAACCTGCGCTTCATCAACATGGCGCAGGATAACCAGCTCTGGGAGCTTATCGACGCCGTAAGCGCTTCCAAAGGTGACTTCATGGAGCGACCGATTGAACCCAAATTCGCGAACTACCCGAAGCTCCTGGATTCGCCCGCTTCGAGCACGCGCACTGCAAGTGCCACGCTCGGCGGCACCCCAGAGCTCGTCGACACGGAAGGAACACCTCGCAACCTTTCAGAAATGACAACGACTGGGAAGGAGCAATACCGCCAAGATGTCGCCAACTTCCAGTTCAACTGGCGGCGATACGAGACCCAAGGCCAAAGAATCCGCAACGTGAGCAACTGGGTCCAGAAAACGGTCGCTAGCCATATCTACAACGCAACCTGCAAACACGATAGAAAGCTGCATGAGTGGTATGCTGCCCTCAAAGAGCGCGCGGGTACCGACACTCTCGCAGACCGTCGCCGAGCGCTCGAGCGCTACAACACTGCAATCAACATCTTCAATCGCAAGCCGAAAGACATCCAGGACTGGCTCTCGAACTGGGAAACAGCCATTGGCGAAGCCCAGGAAGCATAAGTGCCAAGCACCAACAACTCCCAGATGTGGTGGTCGCAATTCGAAGCAGCCATGAGGAGTGCAGGATACGAATCCTGGTGCGAAGCTTACGCCATCAGCAACCAAGTGCTTATCGACAGCAACCAGCTTACCGTCCACAAGCTCGTAAAGGACTTCCGCGAGCGCCTCCGAAAAGACAGAAACTCAAAGCCACGCACCATCAATAGAGGCTCGTTCGTCACCTTCGCTGGACATACCTCTGACGAGGAAGAGCACGATTCGGAGCCCCCTCGCCGCTCGAAACAGCGCAGCCAAGCGCCTCTCAAGAAAAGGAACCGCAGCCCAGCTCCCACGACCGCCAGCAAGCGTCGCTACACTGAAGGAGCAACCCCAAGTTGCGAAGCCTGCGATAGAAAGCACAGCCTCGAGGAAAGTTGGGCAGCTTGGCCAGAGATCCGGCCGGAACACATGTACCCGTCTGAGCGTGCTGAAGGCCGCGCTCAAGAGCGCATCGATCGTGATCCCGAGCTCCGCAAGCGGGTCGAACAGCTCAGGAAGCGCGTCAAGAAGGGAGACAAAGATGCCGTAGTGCCCCTCAAGAGCGCCCTCAAAGAAAGTAACTCTCAGCCGCGCGCTGAAGAGGAACATTGACTAGCCTATCCGCCAGCGAGGGTTAGCGCGTGCCTCCTGACCATCGCAGCGGCGTTTACAGGCATCGAATACCCTCTCAAGAACTCTATGATCCTCAACTCTGGCGCAACTATCCACGTCTGCGATCAAGTCAGCCGTTTCAACAATCTTCGTGCCGCTTCCAAGGAACAATACCTCCGGGCAGGAGAAGGAAGGCTTCGCATCCATGGATTTGGCGAGGTCGACATTTGTCTGAAGAACCCACTCAGCAACAAGCAATTGCTCCGCCCGAAGAGTGTGGCATACGTTCCAGAGTTCGCTACAAACGTCGCGTCGCTTAGAAGGCTTCGAGAGCAGGGCATTTAATGGGACACGCGGCCGCGAACAACGCTCCTTCGGAACCCAGACGGAACCGTTCTCGGCATCGTGGAGGACCACTACGACCAATTTGTACTCGAATACATACCCAATGATCGGGACCGCGCCGCGTTCTTCACACGCCGCAACCGGTTCAATTCGTGGACCCAGAGGCGCCCGCGCAAAGCGGAAGCATATCGCTGGCACTTGCGTCTTGGCCATCCGGGGCCTGGAGCTGTTCAACGGTGTCGAGCGCTTCTTTGCGTTTGGCGTTCTTGAACGTGATGACGATGTCGTCGACGTAGAAGAAGATGATCACGCCGTTCCTTCTGTGAGCGCAGGGTTCGTGAGGCACAGGAGTATACCCTAGCGCTCTAAGCGCGTGTGTGAGTTCTCGTTGCCAGAGAAGTGGCGACCGGCGGAGTCCGTAGAGCGCCTTGTTGAGTTTCAGTATCCACCCTGCGCGCCTGTGTCCTGGTGGCATACGCATGAAGACGTCTTCGTCGAGGTCGGCGTTCACGAAGGCATTGACGGCGTCGAATTGCAAGAGCTCGGGGTCGAAACGTGCGGCGATTGCCATGATGGCTCTGAACGATCTTCCCGCTAGGGTCGCGGCGTAAGTATTCTGGTCTCCGTTTCGAAGTTGTTGGTCGCCTCTAACGACTAGGCGCGCCTTCGCCTTGATGAATCTGCCATGCTTGTCAAATTTGTAGACATATACCCATCGGCAGTTGGGCACCTTGTGCCCTCGTGCGCGTCGATCACGTGTCAGAATCTCGGTCCACGAGCGCATTTTTGCGTGCTCTTGTAAGTGGTCATGTTCAGCTTTCTTGACTAGCTCACCAAGTGGATGTCTTCAAACTCTTGATGCCTGTTTGGCGGCTCGGGCATTTCTCTGCGATGAATTTTGTTTCCAGCCTTCAATCGGCGTTCAATGACCGCTTTTGTGATGCGGTTGCCCTGCTCAGTCTTAACCACTGTCGCTCTCATGCCGGCAAAGAAAGCTCCTTTCCAACAGTCCGCGGGAAACATCCTCGCTTGCGCAGCGGGAGACCCAAGAGCTGCGTCAGCATGGAATGCGCCGTGTTGAACAGCAACAGAACCCTGCGTGAGCGCCTCTCTGGCATTCCCAAGCGTTCCTCCTGGACAGAGCCCCATGTCCATTCGGTGCGCGGACCCAGTAATCACTGCAGCCAACAGGGCGGCTGGTGGAGAAGGTGGTGGCGTAGGTAATGGCTCAAACCGCGCCTCGGGATAGAGCTTTCCCACGGACTCGTGAGCGTAGCTATTTGTAGCATACTGGGCGGTCTGATCAGCTGTGGGAGCTGCAAATGTGGTTTCTGAAGCTGTGCGAGCTTTTGCAGGATGGGTAAGATGGCGGTCGTCACCGCGAGAGCTTCCCGGAGCTTGGCCGGTTTGCAGGCGAGAGGCTCCCTCAACTTGGCGGATGAATTCGAGCCGCGAGAGGTTGGTTCCACAGCTTGGCCGGTTTGCGGGCGAGAGGCTGTGCCTGCTTGGGAGACTGGTTCGACTGCTTGACCGGTTTGCGGGCCAGAGGCTGTACGAACTATGATTGTATTTTGAATCTCTTCTTGTGAGTCCAGGAGGGCTTCTTCCACCCCCCGAGGTGCGAGCGCTGGGTCAACCTGCTCTTCAGCTTCCTTAGGGAGAGCGCATTCTTGCAGAAGGGTGGACAACTCATCTAAATTGAGCTCTCGGATATCATCTCGGAGCTGCGGAATAGCTACCAGCTCACTGGGGGAGATGAGCTGCAGTAGTTCCTAGGCATCGAAATCATCAGAGACCGCCAGAAGCGCTTGATCTGGCTTTCGCAGTCCTCATACATTGAGAAGATTGCCGCATCGGCACAATCAAAACCACTTGCGCGCTCTCCAATGACGAAGGAGGAATTCTTGCCATTCGAAGGGATCGCCACCACGCGGGAAATCACAGTCTACCTTCGGAAGATTGGCTCCCTACTCTACGCGGCTGTCATCACACGCCCTGACATCGCATTTGCCACTTCACGGCTCGCTCAATTCACGACGAACCCAAGACCAGAGCACCGGAAGGCTGCGGACCGAGTACTCTGCTACTTGGGACAAACCAGCACCCTCGCTCTGCAGTTGGGAGGTGCGGATGATCTGCGCATCGCCAGTGATGCGTCACACGCCGACAACACGTTGGACAGCAAAAGCAGCCAGGGATTTGCCATCAAGTTCTTCGGCGGTTTGATCGCATGGCGCGCCAACAAGCAAGACACGGTCACGACTTCCACTACAGAAGCCGAGCTCCTAGCGCTCTCGCAAGCAGCCAAGGAAGGCCTCTACATCAACCGCATGATCCGAGAGTTAGGCATCAAACTCGACACGCCACGTATCATCATCGAATGTGACAACAAGCAAACGATCCGCCTTGTGACGGAAGAGCTCGCCAAGCTGAAGACGAGCTTACGGCATGTGGACATCCACAACCATTGGCTGCGCCAGGAATATGCGCGTGGGAAGATTGATGTGACGTACACGGAGAGCGCCAAAATGATGGCTGATGGCCTCACGAAGGCGCTCGTGCAAGGAACGTTTGAGAACTTCAGAGAGCAGATGGGACTTGTGGACGTCCGTGAACAGCTTACGGAGCGCAGGAGGAAGGAGGACAGTGCCATTTGACGCTATTCAAAAGGATGGAAAAGCCAGCCTCGCCCTCGCGGGCTCAACTGGGGGGTTGTGTTGGAAGTGATGGCACTTGAAACTCGGGAACTGGGTTGCCGGTGTCGTACCCTGGATGGATGGATGGATGGAATTTATTTCGCCCGGAGGCACGAAGCCTAAAGGGGTCGTACCCTGGTCAGGGGTAATACGGCTCCCACTAGACTGACGGGTCCGTGTCGCTTAGATAAGCACAACGATTATCTAAGCACCCAAAAATGCATCTAACGCGGCCACCACCCCACGCGCGCAACACCCATGCGAAGCGCGGACACGACCGCAGACATTATCGCCATGGCCGCCTTCCCAGACGACTGCCTCCCTCCCGAATCCTACTTCGAGTCGCGTGAGGCCTTATTCGAGTCAATCAACTCGTGGGCTGGGCCAAGAGGCTATGCTTTTACCACTCAAAGGTCAACGAAGGAGAAGAATGGTACTACGACAGTTATCTATGCATGCGATCGATCACGCAACCCTCCTGATAGCTTGCTGGAGCGTCAGAGAAGAACAACAACTCGAAAGACGAATTCGTGTTCTCGGAGGCTGAGAAGTGGAAGGAGTTCTACAATTCTTGGCACTCGATCATCAACTCGCCTACCGAGAAACATTATACCAAACGCCTTGCTGAGTTCCAGCAGAACTACGTTCCCGAGCACCCGGAGGAAGTCGGGTATATCAAGGCTACGTGGCTTATTCCGTTCAAGGAGAAACTCGTACGTGCTTGGGTCGACCAGTCGACTCATTTTGGCAATACAGCTACCTCGCGAGTGGAGGGAATTCACGCGCTCCTCAAGTCGTACTTGAAGAGATCGACATTCGACCTTTTCGATGCCTGGAAAGCGATTCGCCTCGCCCTCCTCAACCAACTGTCCGAATTACAGTCAACTCAGGCGAAGCAACAGACCCGAACGCCTCTTGAGCTCTCAGTGGCTTTATACGGAGCTGTACGAGAATGGGTGTCGCATGAGGCGTCAAGGAAGGTCGAGGAGCAACGCAAGTTACTCGCAAGGAGGGACCCCCCTCCATCTCCTACTTGTACAGGCACTTTCTCTCGAGTCTATGGGCTCCCATGCTTACACGTCTTAGATGCTCGTCAAGG